CTTGGGAGTGCTGGTGGTTGAGAAGCTCACCATGAGCCGGCACTGTGCGCTGGCAGCCCAGAAAGCCAACTGTGTCCTGGGCTGCACCCAGAGCAGCGTGGGCAGCAGGGCGAGGGGGGGTATTCTGCCCCTCTGCTCTGCTCTCCTGAGACCCCCCTGCAGTGCTGCCTTCAGCTCTGGGGTCCCCATCATCAGGACATGGAGCTGCTGGAGCGGGTCCAGAGGAGGCCACAGTGGTGACCCGAGAAAGTGAGAGTAAAATGATCTTCAATAGACACAGCTCAGACTCTGCAGTCGTGTGTTAACAGCACAAAATGAAAGAAGCGAAAATGATTAAAAAAGGATTAAAAATAATCTGTTCACTGTTGTTTCTCATACTGAGTAATCACAGCTGTGACAAGTAAATTGGATTAAAAATTACTCCAGTCCTAAAAAAAAATCCACAAAACAAACCCACAAAAAAACCCTAACCCACAACTGAAGAAAAATACAACTTATTACAAATCGCGTACATCTTTCTCATCCCTGGCAGTGTTCAAGGCCAGGTTGGATGAGGCTTTGAGCAACATGGTGCAGTAGAAGGTGTCTCTGCCCATCGCTGGGGGGTTGGAACTAGATGGTCCCTTCCAACCCAAACCATTCTATGACTCTATGATTCTATGTATCCCAGGAGTTCCTGCAGACCTAGATTTACTTAGTGCTGACCTATATACTTGAAAACCCAAGCAATGGCAGAGATATAATAAATCACATGTCCTAAATGTCAAGGAACAACCTTGAAAATTCACCAGTAGTGCATCTGAAAACATCGCTTTTTGCCATATTTATTTTTATAAAATAAACTTACTAAAAAAAATTTATAAAATTAACTTACTTCAACAATTTTTTCTCTCCAAAGCATATTGAGTAGCTTCATCGAGTGCTCTCCTTGGTAACCCAACAGCATCAGCTGCTACCAGAATTAAATACAGCACAGAATGAAAATCAGAAATTCCTATTATATTTTTTAAGTAACTTATTTCTGATGCTTACGGGTGGTCTGCTCTTCTCGACAGCTCCCATTGCGATTTTAAAGCCAGCTCCCTCCGCTATTAACACATTTTCTTTCGGAACTCTCACATCTTCCAAGCCAACACCTCTTGCATCCGAGCAGCGCTGACCCATACTCATGTCCTGGAAAGAGAAGTTTACACAGGTGCAATTAAATTGGATTCTTCCAAGGTGCAACACATTTTCATTCCTTAGTTTACTCAAAGCATAAATAAAGCCTCCCCCCAACCACTTCAGTTTTATCTAACGATCACAACAAATACTGGTTTTGCATTTACAGAGCAGCACTCCCTTGATTTGTCAAAGCCGGGCAGTTTACTTTCTCCACATGTGAAATAATTCTGTACAGTAATCACTCGTTTGTCTTTTTCTGGGTCAATGACATCCTTTGAGATGGGAGAGAAAAAGGTAAAGAACCTAAGATGCAGGCAGAAGTAAAACACAGCTGTACTAGAAAGAAACGAATAAATGAATGAGATTTTCAAGTTTTCCCATCCCTTTCCTAATGCCTGATGGCCGGTTTTGCCTGCTACCAAAAATAGTACTTTCTTTGCTTTCTTTTTTTCCCCCAAAAGAGAACTAGCACCCGCGTCTCCGAGGCCTGTTCCTTGAACAGGAGCAGGTCAAACGAAAGCGCAGCGGGTGTTCATGGTGGACGTTGCCCACCCTGCTTCTCACACTTCCAAGGCGTGCCACGTCACATTCATTGGCACGTGTCAATCAAATGGTTCTCAGAGATCCTTTTGCAGTTGTGCAAAGCCATCTTACCTTAGACCACCCTGAGTAACTCCTTATCCGAATTAATAAAATTATAGTTATTAAGTACATCTTGTGAATAGTTGCTCTATGCTGTGACAATGAAAATATCACTGTACATGAGCACGTGAAAACGGTCAGTTGCTCAACAGTCTTTTTTCTTTCATGGCAGTTTGTTGCATTATTGGTTTAGAAGTAAATAATAATTCCTGGCGTGCCAAATAAGAGACACACTGTTCACCTTTCTTCCAATTTGGATTCCAGGGCTATTTGCTGCCCCAATGAATCCAGTGAAGGCTTTGCTTGCAGGAGCTCTTGGATCTGGGTTGGTACCACTTAGCAAAAAATCTAGTGTGAAAGAAAGAAGAGGGGAGTCAGTTTATCCTCACAATTAACAATCAGATACTTTTTCAGCTAATGTTAGATGTTTTAATGTGTGTTTGTACCATATAATAAATCTATCCATAAGTTAACATCCCTTTTTTCTTGCCCCTTCCAAAAATAAACTGAGAGGGAGTGAGGGAGAGGAAGTGTCAGTGCATCTCTTACCGCAAAAGTCAAGATTTAATAAAATTACTTCAGATCAAGATGCAAAGGTTGTCCACCTTTTCCATGTATTGTAAGTCTTTATATTACAGTCAGCTTCAGGAATAGTACAAAAGAAACCTATTCACAGCTCATACAGAAGAATTATTGCTTAGGAAATAGAGTACTGCATGCAAAATGTCGCTGTCCTCCTGATTGCAATTATCTTAATTTATTCTTCTAAGTATAAGTTGTAAATAAGTTTTTTTCTGTTAGAAATTAAACAGTTGTAAATCACATGATGGTGTCCAGTAACATCAAAAGACAGCTGGTAGATTCTCTTTGATGGTTCTGCCTTGAACAAGGGAATAAATAATGAGAAATTCAACTTTGTACATGAATGTATAAAGTTTTTCCTCTCGAATAAAAAGCATTCATGTGTTGGGGATGAGCATGATCTTGTGTGAGACATGATGGAAGAGGTCTATATTCTACATGGAAAGCATGTTCCACAGACACCACAGCAAAATCTAGATTCTTTGACACTTGAAAAATGTCTTCCTTTAGGAAAATAAAATGTAACACCACAATCCTAGAGTTTTTCTATCTTCACTGAAAGGGAGAGATGTTTCTAGTCGAATCAGAAGAAAGGGATCTCCATCTCAGTCACCACACCCACAAAACAAAGTCCCTCCTAACAGGAGCCTCTGAGTACTTTGCAAGTTAACCCTTACTGTTGCTGCCCTTCTCTGAAGAGAAAGCAGAATTAATTTTGTCTGATATCAGCGAAATTTGAGAGGCATTCTTGAATGGAGCTGTCATGTCATCGCTCAGTTTCCTTTTCAGGCATCGCACAGCACTGAGGCTGCTTTCAGCTATTTCACATCTGAGAATTTTCTCACAGGGTTCTTAGGAAGCAGAGAAAGGGCCAGGAGGGCTCCTGAGCTGCCACAGCACTTAGGAATAATGAAAAAAAAAGTGCCCATATCAGCCAGAAAACCAACCCAGTAATCTGTTTCTAGTTGGGAACTCACGGTGAAACACTGGACGCCCAGATTTGTAACAAATCTTTAAAGAAACACGAGTATCTAACTTGATATAGAAAAGAATAACAGAAAATGTGACGTAAGTCAAAAGTCAACACACCAGTTTGCTTTCCCACCGTTCGTGACCCACATCTGACCATTAATAACATACTCATCTCCTTTCTCCTCAGCTTTTGGTTTTATACCAGCCACATCAGAGCCTGCTCCAGGCTCTGCTACACAATAAGCCTAAAAGAAAATCAAATGCAAAACCTCGAAAAATAAAAGCATATTAAATTAAATTAAAGCATATAAAATAAAATATTTTTAGGCAACCACAAATTATTGCAGAATTATGTGCACCAAACTGATCTGTAAAAGTTTTAAGTGAACTGCATGGAAAACCCCAGAATATTACATCAAAAAATATCCCAGCAACAGTGAGCAAGAATGCAAACACGTAGGGTCACTCTTCCCTATAAATCAATAATACTTAAAATTGTCTTTTAATAATTAATCATGTTCTTACGCTCCCCAAACTCTGCTATGAAAGCTGAGGATCTTTAAAATCTGAAAATAAGAGCAGAGAGTAATGTTTTACAGTAACCGTGCTCTTCATCTTGTGAGGCTTGGTTGCTCAGATTTTCCTGCACTGCCCATGAATCCTTCCTTCCTTCCGTGTACCCAGTACTGCTCAGACAACATTCAGCATTCAGAAATGCAGTTTAATGGCCGTCTGAGTTGTGTTTGTGCCCTTAGAAACCTGGCATTTTTCTGACCTCCTACACCTTCTCTTGACAGTGAATTAAAAGGCACTCATTTTCAGTAAGTGGCTTAGGCTGGTTTTCCAGGTAATACCTTCTCTTTGCTTATTGCATATATCTAATCCAGTATTCCTTGACTTCCAGCAAATGCAGCGTTTTAAACAAACAAACCAAACTGGTTAATATGATTTAGGAACATTCTACAGTGTTGCTAAGTTACACTTACACACATCTCGGGTTCCTCTGTCGTTCTTCCTAAGAATTTTTTTTGCTGCTGCTCGCTTCCTGCAACAATTAACCGGCATTTGCTGAAAGAAAATATTTAGATCATTAATCTGTCTTTTTAAAGGGCACGGACTTAGATTAAAGGAGATAAGAGAAGACAGAACCCACCCCTCCCAGGGAGCTTGCCTCGATGGCAGTGTGAGCCCCCGTACACCTGGAAGCCAACTCGTCCGTAACAAGGCATGCCGAGGCCAAGGCCACCGACAGGTTAAATGGTTCATTGACTAAAGTAAGTTTAAAGCGGAACATATTAGTGATTTACAAAAGTTAATTATCAAAAACATATTTCCACACGTACATTTGATTGTGCACTGTGTCTGATTAAACATTTCCATGCAAGCTTTTTAAATAAAGTGTTGTCAGATTAGTAACAGATGACTTAAAAACGACATTTCTCAGTTCCAGGGTGACCGTGTGCTTGTTATGAGACAAACTGCACAAAACGTTGAGAACATGCTACCAGAATCTTTCAACTACTTTACATCTCAGAATTTCCTTACAGAGTTCTCAGGAAGCAGAGAAAGGGCCACAAGGGCTCCTGAGCTGCCACAGCACTTGGGAATGAAAAAAAGAAAAAAAGTGCCCGTATCAGTCGGAAAATCAGCCCAGCAGTCTGTCCCTGACAGAAGCCAGCACTGTGGGAAACGTGAAAATACAGTTAACAACACAGCAACGCTTCCTCAAAATGTGGAAAAATTCCCCAAATTCCCCAGTCTTCAGGTGACCTCCTCAGCTAAAAGTATCTTTGGTATCTTCTCTCCTCAAAAGTCATGGTGGTGGCTTTCTTGGTTTTTTTTGTGTTTTTTTTCCCCTTTCTGTTTGCCTTTTTCCCCTTTCTGTTTCCCAGTCTCTTTCCTTCTTGCTGTGCTCTAAACCTCCTGTTGGGAACTTTCTTACCACAAACTGGGCAGATGACTTCAGCTGAGATACCACCAGCACTGGCACATGTTGTATCAATGGAGGCGTGACACAGCCTGCAGCAATTAGCTTTTTTTTAAAGAAAAAAACAACCAGCAATACACGCTCCTGTTTACTCATGTTTAGCCCATAATCTCCAGATCCTTTTCTGTGGTATACTGCCAAGAAATTATTCCATGTCATAATTCTCCTAGCACATATTATGCTACAGTTTTTTATTCAGCAAGGATGATTTATTTATAGTCAGGAAAACCAGTTGTCTTTATCTTTTCACCTCTTTCTGACATTAATAATGACTAGATAAAACATATCAAAATAGATATCAAGAAATGCATGTGGCCCATAATATGCAATGTTAGTTATAACAGCTGTCATTACTAAGGTTCTAGAAACTGAAATTTCTCTTACTACTGACTTTGAAATGAAAAGTATTCTCACTGGTCAAGAATCTTTCTCTAAGAACAGAAAACTGCTGGTTTGGACTCTAAAGGTTCTCAGCACTAATCACACTGCGGAGAGTGAGGAAATGAATGAGGAAGTGAACTTTGCTATGATGGGGCTTCTTCCAGGCACGTTCCACGTGTTTCTAGAGAAAGAGGGTGGGAGGGTTACAGGTTGACTTCAAAGTCGAGACCGATTTTACAGGATCTCACTGACTTACATTTTCCATTACACTGACCCATCACGAATGCGTGGCTAGCTAGACTTTCTTAATTGTTCAAATTAATCAGATTTAGTATTACATTTTTGGTGGTTTTCTACTCCCCTTCATCCCCAAAAGAAACAGGAAAGGCTTTTCTCTTCATAATTATTGCATCCACACCTCTTGACCACGCTTCTCTATATTATTGCCCGATTCCACATGGTATATGCTTTTGGCCATATGCCTCATGCACAGAAACTTTGTTTTCCACCTGTTTTCTTCCACATATTTGATATTTCCCAGTATGACACGATTCTGCTACTGTGTTTACTGGTAACATTCTCACATGTCCACGCGTTGCTCTGGGTTTCTGTCTGTCTCCAAATCCAGGCTACTATGATAGTAATTTGTAAATTAGTTCCTCATATTCAGAAAACTTCCCTCCTTTAATTCTGTGTGGGTTTTTGTGCATCTCTGACCTTGCTGCCAGCAAGCCAGATAGAAGAGAGAAGATACCTAGAGGAATATGCAAGAATACATGGTAAAAAAAAAAAAAAAAGAAAAAAATACTGTGTTCAAGAGAGTACTAGTTAAGTGCACTGTCAGCACAGGTCACCTCCTCCTCTCACCCACTGCTTTAAAACCTACTTTGTAAAACCTGCAGTACGTATTTTCTCCCCAGATAAAACATTCTCCCCACCCTTCGTCACTCACTGTGCCTGTTCGTTTCACGAGAACCTTACTGAGTTTTGGTGAGAGCCTCTGAGAGAGCAAGACTGTCTCTCCGTGTCTGGGACGGGATTTATGGCATTTAGCCCACTGTAGTTACGTCGCATGGAAACGTTTCTGTTTTCTGGTTTTCTGCATATCCTCATCCACACTGTATCACTGCTGCCAAGGTTCACAAGCGTACAAAGATCTGTTAAAATATTTTAGAAAATGATCAGCTGACATTATTCCAATTTTTCTTTTCAGATTTATGAGAGAGCTGCTCAGGTTCAAAGGATGATCACAGCTCGTGAGTGTGCTGGCAAACACAAGGCGTAAGGAAACGCATCCGGCGTGTCTGGCCACGGCCGTAGGGTTCTGTGCTCTCAGGGAAGATGATTTTAGTGCGTTTCTTGGCACAGAAAGGTGTGGAAAAGCCTCCTTTCCTGCAAAATCTTTTTACTGTGTACATGGTTAAGCACTACTCTGTACTCCCCATCCATTCCCTTACTTCATTCCTTCTGACCAAGAAATGTGTTTTCTAAACATTCCTGAATTCCAAAGTGACTGGTTGTCATCTTTCCTCACTCACCCTTTCACTCATATCTTTGGCTTTTGGTGGGAGAAGAGGTAAAAACCCTCCCTGTAAAATTTATAGAATAAAAAAGTGAACCAAAATCTGATTTTTAAATATTTTTTGTTGTTTTTTGTGAAGGCATTCAGCATATAACAAGGAATTGGATTTTAGGTGTTTCTCTATTGTTTGCAAAGATACAGATTTCCTCCCACTGTTTTCGCACTGGAGTTTGGGTGGATATCAAATTAATAAATCTCAGGGAAATTTAAAAAAGTTATTCTGCTTCCTGAGGAACACCGTGTTGCAGCACATGGTCTCTTGGTCACCGCTTGTAAAATAAAAGCACTAACACTGTGGTTTTCTGGCCTTTAGAAACTTGCATCTTTTGAAAAATTGAAAATGAATACGTGCTGACTTCTGGACCTTTAAAAACACACATTCACACAAATTACAGCACAAATTGGTGTTATTTTTGTCATCCATGAGTCAGTATGAACAAAAACTAGTTTTTGCTTTCATAGGGCTCCTTTTCAGGGACTTAACCACCTTATTCACCTGAATCCAGCACAGACAAATTGTCATTCGATGCATTCATCTCTGTGCCTCGAAGAAACCTGCGACATTTATCAGGAAAATACTTGTTTTCTTGAGCCTTAGGCAAGACTTCTTGTTATGGATGAATGTTACGCCCAGCTCTTGAGAAATACAGGCATGTGGTTTCTATTATAGTGGGAAAAAAGAAGTATGATCATTCAATTTTAAACATGTTTTCATTTTAACTGATCCCACGTGAAGGAACCTGTAAGAAACTGCCTTATTTTCCGTTATAACGATGCTGTTCTAAACTTGGATATTCCCCCAAACACGAGGGGCAAGAAATGAGACCCTCACAACACGATGTTTTTTCACGGTAAGGCTAGATCATGAAAATGATTACTTCTGACAGCCAGTGCTGCATTCCAATAAAGAACTGTTTATAAGCGGAGAGGCGCGGTTGTTTTACTCGCTCTGCTTGTCACACCGTGTCATTAACTTGCGTTTCGGGCCGGCTGTGCAGTGTCTGAGGTTGTGCAGAGCACCCAGCAGCCCTTCCAGCTCCGTGCTGCTGCTGCCTGCTCCTGGGAGCCTGAAGGACTGGGAGCCTGAAGGATTGGGATGCTGAAGGATTGGGATGCTGAAGGACTGGGATGCTGAAGGACTGGGAGCCTGAAGGACTGGGAGCCTGAAGGATTGGGAGCCTGAAGGACTGGGATGCTGAAGGACTGGGAGCCTGAAGGATTGGGAGCCTGAAGGACTGGGATGCTGAAGGATTGGGATGCTGAAGGACTGGGATGCTGAAGGACTGGGAGCCTGAAGGACTGGGAGCCTGAAGGATTGGGAGCCTGAAGGACTGGGA